CGGTAAACTGAACCGAATATTCGTTAAAACGTGTTAAACGTCAAACGTTCCACTTGCACTCAACTTCACGATCGAAATTTTAACCTAAAACTCGGTGCTCTAAGCTGAGTCTAAAATTAGTCAGCAATTTTTTTCTTGCGTGTGCTCGTTGGACGTGTGCAAAACTTACACTCAAAAAATATTGAAATCTAAATAGTATACACGGTAACCGCAAAATACCCAATAATGACTACAAAGTAAGCATTTTCGAGGGAAACTGGGACTACCCATTAAATGAGTAAAAATTTACCCATTTATGAGTAATTACAACTACAAAAATAAGTAGTAAGTATTCATTTTTGAGTAACAAATACTCATAAATGGGTAATATGTTTACTCATTTAATGGGTAGTCCCAGTCTCCCTCGAAAATGCTTACTTTGTAGTCATTATTGGGTATTTTGCGGTTACCGTGTAAAAGTTTCGCTAAATAGCAACTCTCCGTACCGACGCAAAGGTCGGTATAAAGGGAGAGAATGCAAACTTAGTATAAAAATGGTTTATGCGTTATACCCCGGACAGACTATGGCCTATATCATGTAATATAGACTGGCTTGCAATGAGCACTCATATATAGGATTTCCAGTGAAAACTAGATGTATGAGTGCTCATTGCAAGCCAGCCTATATTACATGATATAAGCCATAGTCTGTATAGGGTATTACATAGTATAAAATCGAAATATACTCACAATGCATAGATACGGCGGATACGGTTTATTCAAGAGAAGTTATTTTCCGCTTCTTTATTTTATTTATGGTAAATATTATTGTTTTCAAATGAAAATAAAAATTGTCCCAGGAAGTTTTTTTGATTAGTTTATTTTTTATTAATAATATTTAAAAAAATACTTACAATTTCGATGCTGCCCAGCAGATTACAGGCGCAGTAGAAATCCGCTGGGACAAAGCCCTTCACCAGCACGAAGCTCCGAAGGGAATCCAGATGTTCTTATTCCTGTCATTTTAGTAAACACTGATCGAATTCCACTCCGTTATTCGGACTTATACCCCGTTCACATTACAGCTTATATCACGTGATATACGGTGTCTTGCAATGAGCACTCATACATCTAGTTTTCACTGGAAATCCTATGTATGAGTGCTCATTGCAAGACAGCCTATATTACGTGATATAGACTGTAATGTGAACGGGGTATTAGTATAATTTTGACAAAAATTTTAATCGAACCAATGTATAAATTTTGAAAAACCATAAAATGCATAAAATTTAATCTATATTCGTTTTGTAATATTTTTGAGTGTAAGTAAAAATCAAGGGGTGAGACAGGTTTACCAACAATCAATACGAAACTAACGATTTTAAATTGGCTCACCACTTTAGTAGCCTATTGGTCACAAGCAAACGATTAACGTACCCTATTCTAGTTGAAATTCTAGTACTACACTATGTTTGTTTTGATTCGCTATGAAAGTTTGACAGATAACATGAGGGGTTCTTGGATTTTCCTATGTTTCGAGGGGTGCATCGATTAGCTTGGGACCGAAGAGAGTACCAGAGCTGAGCCAAAAAGTTGAGAACGTTTGTTCGGGACCTTCTAGTCTTATACCTTGTACAGACATACAAAGTTCACTGTTGTAATACCGTTGTACTGCTTTAAGCTAGTACCACAAATTGTACGTTTTGAGGTACTTGATTAAAGGAGTACAACGGTACTAATTTGTATGTCTGTCTGTGGTATTAGAGTTAACTCTATGGTAATACCAACAATCAATACGAAACTAACGATTTTAAATTGGCTCACCACTTTAGTAGCCTATTGGTCCCAAGCAAACGATTAACGTACCCTATTCTAGTCGAAATTCTAGTACTACGCAATGTTTGTTTTGATTCGCTATGAAAGTTTGACAGATAAAATGAGGGGTTATTGGTTTTTCCTATGTTTCGAGGGGTGATTCGGCAAGCATGGGACCGAAGATAGTACCAGAGGTGAGCCAAAAAGTTGAGCACGTTTCTTCGAGACCTACTTGTCTTAGAGTTATCTCTATGGTAATACCATAGAGGTAACTCTAAGACCACTGGGTCCCGAAGAAAATCATTATTATTTTTGGCTCACTCAGCTGGCTGGACCAGAACAACGGTCCCAAGCAGTCCCAAGCTATTTCACTCACCCCTGCATGTTCTGCATGAATCCACACACCCCTGATGTTATCTGTCAAACTTTCATAGCGAATCAAAACAAACATAGTGTAGTAATAGAATTTAAACTAGAATAGGGTACGTTAATCGTTTGCTTGGGACCAATAGGCTACTAAAGTGGTGAGCCAATTTAAAATCGTTAGTTTCGTATTGATTGTTGGTAATACCACAAACGAAGTTACAGACGGAGCGGCTCGAAATTTGATTTGACGCACTTACATTTGAAATTTTCGACTGTACCTCACGGCAACACTATCTACTCATATGTACTAGCTTAAAGTAGGGGGTACCGTATGTTATCTCTTTTTCTCTAACGGAAATTGAAAGGGAGAGCCTGTTGTCAAACAGCATGTCATTATGACGTTTAGTTGTTATCTGCTTTTCTTTTGTATAGTAAAAGATCATAGGCCAAAATGATTAGGAGTGAACACATCGGGTTAACATTTGCTTACAAGTAAACGATGTTGAGCTGTCAATGACTCGCGCTTGTTGCCATTGTTGCTACAGATTTCTTCAGTCCGTGCTTCTAACCGAGCATCATCCACCAGATAGGTAAGTTTTTTTGTTTTGATTTGAACAAAGTTGATTTTGTGTACAATGATTCTTTGACAGTGTGCAAAGAATGCGTGTCATTTTTTTATGCATTTCAGTTTTGAGTAGAGTGAAAGAGATAGAACCAAAACATTCTAGTACATTTGGTGAAAATGCTAGTTCAATCTAGTAGTAGTGTTGCCATGTGGTACAATCCAGTAGTAGTGGTGTTGCCATGTGGTACACTGAAAAATAGCAATAGCAGGTTAGTCACCAAAGCTTTCGAGCTGCTCCGTCTGTCACTTCGTTTGTGATAGAGTAGTGAGTAATATCATAGAGGTAACTCTAAGACCACTGGGTCCCGAAGAAAATCATTATTATTTTTGGCTCACTCAGTACCAGAACAACGGTCCCAAGTAGTCCCAAGCTATTTCACTCACCCCTGCATGTTCTGCATGTATCCACACACCCCTGATGTTATCTGTCAAACTTTCATAGCGAATCAAAACAAACATAGTGTAGTAATAGAATTTCAACTAGAATAGGGTACGTTAATCGTTTGCTTGGGACCAATAGGCTACTAAAGTGGTGAGCCAATTTAAAATCGTTAGTTTCGTATTGATTGTTGGTAATATTTCAACCATGGTCCCTCCAACGGCACCCGCCGCCACAGTTTTCGGTATAGAAAATATCTCCCGGTGCGGAAACAACCCATTAACACTGCAGCAAAATCTCGGTGGTGTATAGCAAAAACGGGACCGAATCACTACCATCCGAAAGGCCCAGCAAAAGCACCAAAAGCGAGGATGGATGTCCCCCGTCAGCAGAACGGCACCGTGGTAATTCAGAGCTCGGTTCCCAGTTCCATCCAACGGCAGTTTGTCAAGCGATGGCACGAGATTGCTTCGACGAGTATCGATTTTGAATATTTGGTCAGGGAGATCTGGTTTTTCTACCACATCAACCAGATAAACATTCGACCGTCGTAAGTGTAAGGTTGCAACAGGTTCCTTTCACGTTCACGGATGGTAAGGGTCGAACGAAGGTTATTAAACTGAGATGATTTAAGTGTCTCCGAGTTCCGCTTTTATTGTTGTTTTATTTGACCTTCAAATGTTGCTGTGATGCGAAAAGTGAGAAAGCAAATTACAGCGATCTTGCTCACTGAGCAATGTGAGTTACTCGAGGTGCCTCAATAGCAACTCTGAAATTGCTCATGATTAGGAGCTGTCTTGCCCCTTGGTAAAAATGTAAAAAGTTCTGGAGCAGCTGCAACAGGAGAATGCACGTTTTAATGAAATCTTTTGTAAGTATTTGAAACTAACAGTATGATTTTATTTGCAGGCATCTTGTGCCATAGTTTATTTCTACTGCTTGTAAATGTACAAGTTTATGTCTACGGCTTGCAAAAGCATTTTAAAAACCATTTGAATAAAAATGACATCAAAGTCTGTGATATTTTTGTTGATGTGATTTTTCACGCTGTTACTTACGTTACGGAAGTTTTTATTCGCCAAAACAAATTACATAAATATATAGGAAGAGGTGACAATTGGCTTCTTACTCTTTTATTTCTATCTCTATCTCTATCTTTATATATCTCTATCTGTATGTTACGCACATGAAATCGGCCAGTCAGGAGCTGGTTCACGTTTCACAGAAAAGTGGTTAATTTTCGCCCCCGTATGATCACCTCTTCTCTTATAGTACGTTCAGACTACAGAGTTATAACATGTTATAGCGCTATCTTGATCGTGGTTTCTGTGTTGCAATTAGTTGACAACCGTTATAACATCAGTGCTAACATTTGAAAACGGCGCAAAAGCCATTTGTAAACAAATGGTTTGTGGGCCCTTTACTCGCTACCCGAAGAACGCCCACGCAAACCAACAGCATCGTCAGGAAGGGGAAAATTTCCCCTACCCGATGTTGCTGTTGTGTCGCGTGGGTGTACTTCAAGTAGTGAGTAAAGGGCCCACAAACCATTTGTTTACAAATGGCTTTTGTGCCGTTTTCAAATGTTAGCACTGACATGTTATATTTCGGTAGTCTGAATGTGGTATTAGGTGTAAATGATAAAAATGTATGCCAAACGAACGTATGTCAAAATTGTAAACACTCATAAATTAATTTATATTATAGGTTTTTCTAGCAACACACCCAATTTCGACGCCAGCTGTCAAAACACAACAGCTGTAGCTGTTGTCCTTTGTTTTGTTTGCTGTAGCTGTTGTGTTTTTTCCTCTTATTTACGCTTGGTCAGGAAGGAGCGATTAATTATTTATTATTTGCGAATCGATCGAAAAAGCTGGAAAAAAAAAATCATTTGAACGATGTTCACGATAGTGGATTTCTACGGTAAACAGGCCGACTACAGTTGCGGCTATTGTAAACAACCAACATCCTGCCAAACGCATGGTAAGTTCCTGTTCTTGGATTCGCCCTCAATGGAATTGTTGATTGTTCATTGTTGGATGAATCATTTTTTATTCGTTTCGATTCGCAGGAATGTGGGCACACACCATGACCTGCCAGGACTACCAGGATCTGATCGATCGTGGCTGGAGACGGTCCGGATGCTATTGCTACAAGCCGGAAATGCACACCACCTGCTGTCCGTCGTATACGATTAAGTGCGATGCGACGCGTTTTCGCTTGAGCAAATCGCACAAGAAGACCATCAAGCGGGTCAATAAATTCTTGAAGGATGGCGTAAGGGGAAAGGACGACGGCGATGGGACGAGTGATGCAGATCGTAGCGCAGAAGATGGTAGTGCCGGCGGGGACTTAGAAATGGGAGATGTAGCGCGTAATCCCAGAAAGGAACTGAATCTGGATAATGTAAAAGCACTCGTTAGAAAAGAGGATGGTCCTGTGGCACGAGATGCGGTCGGTGGGATGTGCTTAGCAAAGGATCCCAGCGCTGGAAGTAGCTCCGATTTGTCTACGAAATCTTCGACCGGTGGTAGGAATCCACCGAAGAAAGCGAAGCTGTTGAGAATTGAACGGAAGCGGGAAAAGTTAATTCAGAAAGGATTGAAACCCGAAGAGCTTGATAAGGAAATGCAAGAGGCCAAGGGTAAGAACGTTGAAAAGAGTCTGGAGGATTTTCTCGCTGAAGAGCCAGCAGAAGGAGAGCAGGCGGCACATCGTTTGAAGGTAATTGAGTGTATGAGGTCCAGTTCGAAGACTAAATTTGTATTCATTCCAGGTAAAATTAGTTTTGTCGCAGGAAGGAGCTAATGACTTGGTATATGCTCTTTACCGCACGTATCAGATGGGGATCCATAAGGATCCCTCTTCAAAGTTGAACATGGATCGTTACAAACGATTCCTAGTGAAATCTCCCCTGAAGGTGATTAGTTTAGGCTAGTTGTGATGATATTGCTTTGTTTTTCTTTCTTTTTCTCCCGACTCTTACTCCTAAAACCATACACACACCAAAAATTGCCAAATTGTAACATCAGCTCGTTATCGTCTGTACCTCGAGTAATGAGTTCAAGCGAACCAAACAGATCTCCTTTGGCGTGTACAAGAAGTACCAAACCGAGGTGCACAATGATCCACCCAACTCGATCGAAGAATATTTGGACTTCCTGGTCAAGTCACCGCTTCAGGTACGGCTCTTCGTTCCCCCGGAAGCTTTTCTGCGCGTGCTTCTACTTACAATTCCCCTATCATTGTCTGTGTAGTTTGCTAATTTCAATTGGTTTTCCTGTGTCCTAACCTTACCTCCCGTGAAACAAAATTCTTCTTTTACGAAAAACGACTAACGTCGAACAAATTTCAGTACACAACTGGTCAGAACTCTCCAAGCTGTGGATTTGGATCGTTCCATCAGCAGTACTGGTTGGACGATCGCCTAATTGCCGTTGGGGTTATCGACATCCTCCCCAGCTGCGTCAGCTCAGTTTACTTTTTCTACGACCCCGAGTATAGATTTCTCTCACTGGGGACTTATGCATCTCTAAGGTGACACACTTCTAATGATTCGAAATGGCCAACACTAAACGATTGCATTTTCAGAGAACTTGCCTTCACACGTAAGATGCAACAGCACACCCCCAGTATTACCAACTACTATATGGGATTCTATATCCATTCGTGTCCCAAGATGCGCTACAAGAGCAATCTCTACCCGTCGTATCTGCTCTGTCCGGAGGTGTACAGCTGGCACCCATTGGATGCGAAAGTTGTGGCCATGTTGGACAAAAGCAAATATTGCCGCTTCAACGAAAATCCCAAGGCGGTTGATCAGAATGCAGTCAGTTCGGAAGATGTGTTGGACGTGCTTATTCTGCATGGCAGTTCCTACAAACGCTACGGGCAATATATGGTAAGGACTTCCGCATTGTGCTTATGAAATTTATCGTAAATGTTCTCAACATTTTCTTATAGAAAACGGTGGGTTTGACGGTACCGGCCAAAAACACGTGCACCTACGCAAAGTTGGTTGGGAAAGTGTGCTCCAGTCGAATGCTTCTTTATGAGGGGTAAACAATGTGTTTGCGTGCCTGCTGGCTGCTGAATGAAGGAGAATCCACAGACAAACAGACAAAACAAGTTAATCGAACACGCATTTAACAGCCAATTTAAATGTTTTTCAGTTTGAAGTACCGCCAATTGTGACGCGCATAGTCAATTCCCTTGCGTTTGACGTTTACACGCTACCGCCATCTGTTGAGAGTACTGCACATCACAATGTACCCAACAGATGGCGGTAGTGTTTAGCGACGATGTTTTACAGTAATAAATATGTGTTATGTCTGCTTGTCGGTGGAAAATCGTTACTCGTTTGTATGTTTTAAGATGTAGCTACCATAGAGATCTCCAAGCGCGATCTAACGAACACTAAAATCCAACATCCATATATAAAAATGAAGAAGATGATGAAACGAAAAGGTATCGCGTTATCACAACTACTTAAAAAGGTAACACGCGGTCTCACGCACACTTTTGTGCATCTGGAGAACTCTATTGAGGTTGCACTCGCTATAGAGATTAGTGACGTTTAACGCACGCACACTAGCGGGTATATCGCCGTGTAAAGTTGTTTATTATTTTCCTCTGGCTAGCCTAAAACAAATTATGAAATTCGATCTGTCAAAATGAGATTGACAGCGATTTGTTATGTATTTTACTCGGATTTTCACTAACACGCTCTCATACATCGCACCAATACAACCGGACGTGAAAATCTCAATAGAAATCTAATTCGTTTAAAAGCTTCCCGCATAAACGCGAACCATAAATTGACCTTACCTAAAATGGTTAAAAATTGTTTATAATCCCTGCTAAACTTTAACTGAAATGGTTATGGAACTTTACATGAACGTTTAATGATAAAGTTTCAACCTTATGTATTATGGTTTTTTCTAACTGGACCTTACAAATAATGGGTTGTTAAGAACCATTACCATTTCAAATTCTTGTTTTCTCCATACATTTTCGGAAAGAGAACTATATTAGAACGTTTTTACTTATGGTTTGAGAACATTAATGGTTATGGTTATGGTAGTCAGTAAGGTCCATTAATGGTTTTGTATTATCGCTCAACTTTACGTGGAATATATCGTGAATTGGTAATCAGTAAATTACAGGCAACCAATTCGCGATATATTCCACATAAAGTTGATCGATGTTACAAAACCATTCGTGGACCTTACTGACTACCATAACCATTACCATTAAAGTTCTCAAACCATAAGTTAAAAGGTTCTAATATAGTTCTCTTTCCGAAAATGTATGGAGAAAACAAGAATTTGGAACGATAATGGTTCTTAACAACCCATTATTTGTAAGGTCCAGTTCCAAAAAACCATAATACATAAGGTTGAAACTTTATCATTAAACGTTCATGTATAGTTCCATAACCATTTCAGTTAAAGTTTAGCAGGGATTATAAACAATTTTTAACCATTTTAGGTAAGGTCAATTTATGGTTCGCGTTTATGCGGGTTACCATTCTAAAGAATAATTGCGAAATAATTGTAAACAGGCGTCTAGCTATTTATTGCCCTAAATACACTTTAAATTTTATTTTATGGAGCATACTTTCACAAATGTAGATGAATAATTTCACTGCCCACAAACCTCGCCTTTCTGATTGCCAATCTACGTTACATCCGGTGGGCTCATGGTGTGTTATCAGAACGTTCGTGACCTGCGAACAAAAAAAGACTACTATCGAGTCTAACTACAATGCAATACAAAAAGTACTCATCGAAACCTGGCTCGATGACCGAAGACCGAATTCGAGTTGATCGTAACCAGATCAATAGTACCATTGACTGAACTGAACTGTTGCCGCGATTCTGCTCCGATTAGCACTTTTCTAGAGCAGTTGTGGCTTATCAAGATTACGACATCGCAGAGAACTATATGAATCGGCGTTGTGTACTTAGGGGAACGTGGGGTAATAGGCCCCCCTAAGGAAATGATCGATTCTCACCACATTTTAATCAATAATAAACATTCTATTTCAGCGCATTCATCAGTCTAAATAATATTCTTGATGGTACCGAAAACATTATGTGAAAATGTGAATTCATCACCGAGAAAATTATTTTACAAAATGTTTACAAAATTTAATGTTCTCATAGTAGCGTTTTTATTTTTCGCTGTGTAATATGCGCCACTTCGTAATAATCCTCAAGCGCAATGAAAGTGGCAGCGTAAAAGCATAGAGGTAACTCTAAGACCACTGGGTCCCGAAGAAAATCATTATTATTTTTGGCTCACTCAGTATCAGAACAACGGTCCCAAGCAGTCCCAAGCTATTTCACTCACCCCTGCATGTTCTGCATGAATCCACACACCCCTGATGTTATCTGTCAAACTTTCATAGCGAATCAAAACAAACATAGTGTAGTAATAGAATTTCAACTAGAATAGGGCAACAATCAATACGAAACTAACGATTTTAAATTGGCTCACCACTTTAGTAGCCTATTGGTCCCAAGCAAACGATTAACGTACCCTATTCTAGTTGAAATTCTATTACTACACTATGTTTGTTTTGATTCGCTATGAAAGTTTGACAGATAACATCAGGGGTGTGTGGATTCATGCAGAACATGCAGGGGTGAGTGAAATAGCTTGGGACTGCTTGGGACCGTTGTTCTGGTACTGAGTGAGCCAAAAATAATAATGATTTTCTTCGGGACCCAGTGGTCTTAGAGTTACCTCTATGAATAGGGTACGTTAATCGTTTGCTTGGGACCAATAGGCTACTAAAGTGGTGAGCCAATTTAAAATCGTTAGTTTCGTATTGATTGTTGGTAAAAGCCCGATCTGAGTAAGCATACTTGTCGGATGTATGAGTATGTGACAACTGTTATTTGTGACAACTGTCAAACTTTTCGTTTCCGTTCCGCTTCCGCCCACATGGCGTTTGGGCCTTAAGTTTTAAGGGCCACCTACATTAGATCTGAACTGACGCGTTGCGGTAAACTGACAGCTAAAGCAAAATAACCATATCAAGAACCACATGTGAAAAGGGCATACAAGCTTATTGTAAACAAACCTTTGTAGGCCCTTTTCTCGCCAACCGAGGGTCGCCCACGCAAACCAGCAATATCATCGAAAAGAGGAAAGTGTCCCCTACCCGGTGATGTGAAAGGTTTGCGTTGGTGTCATATGGGTGGCGAGAAAAGGGCATAAGAAGGTTTGTTTACAAAAAGCTTGTATGCCCTTTTCACATGTTGTTCTGGATATAAATTTGATTAGGGGAGACAAGCGAAATTTGGAGATTTACCGAGGAATGACATCTCTTTGTGTCTGCTGGAAAGTATTCGAGATAATCATCAACGACGCTTTATTGGCCTGCTATAGAAACCTCGATAGAAACTACATTTCTCCTGACCAACATGGTTTCTAACCCAAACGTTCGGTCTCAACAAAACTCGCCCCTTTCATTTCCCTATCCCTCGGAATATGCAGGCAGAAGCACAGGTGGACGTCGTATACACGGATTTCAAGGCTGCTTTCGACCGGGTTGATCATGCCGTTCTATACGTTGGAGCATCTGGCGGACATCTTTACGAAGGCTTTGGACGCTGGTCGATTTGAAGGGCTGAGAAGGAAGCTGGGTGTGTACGATCGAAAGGGGGTGAAGACGAAGTAGGCCTCGATTATTTGAATCGATGGTCAAGGGCCACCCACATTAGATCCGTTTGCGTTGCGTTGACGTAAATTTGACAGTTAGACAATAGATTTAGCAATCACTTTGCCGCAACGCGTCCGATCCGGATCTAATGTGCGTGGGCCTTCACAGTGAGTTGTTAACAACCGCTTGAAGCAAACGGTTACTTTTAATTCGTTCCTTAAATAAAGCTTTATTTAGTTTTCGTGATTCCGTTATCCTTTTTTTCGGAGTTCCTGTTGTCCATTCCATTCAAGAAGACATTTTCTTCGAAACTTTTTGTGGAAACAGCCTGGAGCCATTCGTTCATCAATGCTCGTGAAGTTGTCCTCGCTGATCCTCGATTGCGCCCTATTGTTCCTTTCTCGTTGGTGACGCTGCTGAAAAAGTCATCGTCGTCATCCAAGTTCGTACCGCTACTGCTAACTTCTTCAGACTCCTTCAACAATTCTTCTACCGCTCCTTCCATTGCTTTTCTCACTCTCGGTACTTGGGGTCATACTTCTCCAGCCAGATCAACCGGAACTTTGGATGCAATCAAAATACTTCCCAAATATGCATCAACCAATGTATCACAGAAGATAAGCCCTTAATTTCAAAAATAGTAGCGGCTACGGTAGGCAGTAAACTACCTAAGAAGGTTTGATCCTCTCCTTGAACCTTGTCAACGGCTTTGGCTAATATCGACATTACTTGAATGTATTCTTTCATGAACCCAAAATCTTCATCTGTAAACGCCTGCAATTTAAGTTGCTCTGCTACTCTACGGATTCCTCTTCGATTTTAATCCAGCAAATCGCGACGAACAACCATGGAATCGTAGGTAGGGTTTCATCTTGCGCTGTTTGGGGTCACCAATCGTCGCTTCAATTCTCCTACAATGACGTCAGCTGAAACCGAACTGCGGTTTTGCTGAATCTAAATGGCTTGTGCTTTAACCATGGTCCGTCTATATGCTGATTTGAAAACAGGGCTTTTGAGTGCCTTATTTGCGTCAACACTTACCACCAGGTTGAACGTATGAGCAGCATGAGGCGGAAGAGTATTCTTTGTACATCATCCAAAGAGATGTACTCTAGGTCCTCGTCAGCGTTGCCGGTTTCGTCATTCAAAAACTCATCACAGGAATTTGCGTCATCTTCGGGAACACTATTCAAAAGGCAAGGGGTAAATCACTCAGTACATTGTGCCGAAATTAGATTCGGCACAGCTTGGGCACATCCATTGGCATCCTTTGGCATACCCTCGGCACAATCTCGTAGGCATTGGATTATTGTAAATAAAATGGGAGCACTGCTGGACAACTGTCATTGAAGTTATTCACAACATTACGTGCTGTTTGACTGTATATTCAGGAACATCCTCTAATTGAATATACCAGAGGAACTCAGACCAGCAGTCCACTTATAGATCTAAATACGAAATGTAGGTTCTAGAGTGGGCTCAAGAGAAAGAGGCAGTTAATCGGACCTCACTAGAACCATAGAGGTAACTCTAAGACCACGGGGTCCCGAAGAAATCATTATTATTTTTGGCTCACTCAGTACCAGAACAACGGTCCCAAGCAGTCCCAAGCTATTTCACTCACCCCTGCATGTTCTGCATGAATCCACACACCCCTGATGTTATCTGTCAAACTTTCATAGCGAATCAAAACAAACATAGTGTAGTAATAGAATTTCAACTAGAATAGGGTACGTTAATCGTTTGCTTGGGACCAATAGGCCACTAAAGTGGTGAGCCAATTTAAAATCGTTAGTTTCGTATTGATTGTTGCTAGAACCATAGAGGTAACTCTAAGACTAGAAGGTCCCGAAATAACGTGCTCAACTTTTTGGCTTAGCTCTGGTACTATCTTCGGTCTCAAGCTTATCGATTCACCCCTCGAAACATAGGAAAAACCAATAACCCCTAATTTTACCGAGGGGGGCGACACATCTAAATCTCAATTCTAGATGCTCAAAAAATCTCACACTAGCGAATAAATCTTCGAAAAATCTTCTTACATTTCTCACATCTACTTGCATCGCGCATCATCTTTTTGCAGCGTACGCGCAGCTAGCCACAGCAAACCACAATATTTCCTGCATCGTAGATAGAGTCGTCCCCCTCGAATTTTACCTGTCAATCTTTCATAGCGAATCAAAACAAATATTGCGTAGTACTAGAATTTCGACTATAATGGGGTAGGTTAATCGTTTGCTTGGGACCAATAGGCTAGTCAAGTAGTGAGCCAATTTAAAATCGTTAGTTTCGAATTGATTGTTGCTAGAACCCTTAGTTCAAATAATGCTGCAACTCACACCAAACAAACTACAGAAGTACAATGTTTCCCACCGGTTCCAACCTATTTCCGGCCGCTGATAGACCGTTGCTTTTCAAATCACGAAAGGCTAGGTTTCTAGTCTGCCTTTGAGGGCATTATAAAATCCTAAAACATAGGACTTTTATTATCCTATGAACACAAAATACCAAAGTTTCGCACACCCGCCACTAAGCTAAATGTTTCACTAAAACCAAAACATTTAAGGTGTCAGAAATACCGGGTTGCCGGGATGGGTATTTCATAAACAATCGCAGTTTTCTCTATGACCGACACAATCGGCACATCTGCGTCACACTTGCGGCACACTGACAAAAAAGATGACCCAAAATTGGTGTGCGGAGTGACCTGCCCCTTGTCAAAAAGTCACCTTCTGATCCAAACTGCACAAACACTTTAACAAAGTTACTTCCATTATACCTTGTACAGACATACAAAGTAAACTGTTGTACAACCGTTGTACTTCTTTAAGCTAGTACCTCAATTTGTACCTTTTGAGGTACTCGATTAAAGGAGTACAACCAACAATCAATACGAAACTAACGATTTTAAATTGGCTCACCACTTTAGTAGCCTATTGGTCCCAAGCAAACGATTAACGTACCCTATTCTAGTTGAAATTCTATTACTACACTATGTTTGTTTTGATTCTCTATGAAAGTTTGACAGATAACATCAGGGGTGTGTGGATTCATGCAGAACATGCAGGGGTGAGTGAAATAGCTTGGGACTGCTTGGGACCGTTGTTCTGGTACTGAGTGAGCCAAAAATAATAATGATTTTCTTCGGGACCCAGTGGTCTTAGAGTTACCTCTATGCTTCTACTGGATTGTACTAGCATTTTCACCAAATGTATTAGAATGTTTTGGTTCTATCTCTTCCACTCTACTCAAAACTGAAATGCATAAAAAATGACAAAATGATACACTCTTTGCACACTGTCAAAGAATCATTGTACACAAAATCAACTTTGTTCAAATCAAAACAAAAAAACTAACCCATCTGGTGGATGATGGCACAAGCTTCCAAGAAAATTCTATTACAGTGAACCACATTATTTTAATGGATTTCTTCGCCAGTTAGTCGTCTGTCACTTCGTTTGTGGTTAGATGTTGGTACTAGAGCTGAGCCAAAAAGTTGAGCACGTTTCTAAATCTCAATTCTAGATGCTCAAAAAATCTCACACTAGCTAATAAATCTTCGAAAAATCTTCTTTCATTTCTCGCATCTACTTGCGTGCATCATCTTTTTGCAGGAAATCTTCAAAATCGTGATAAATCTTCTTTCTATCTACTCAACGTACGCGCAGCTAGTTACAGCAAAACACAATATTTCCTGCATCGTAGATAAAGTCGTCCCCCTCGCTTGTCTTAGAGTTACCTCTATGGATGAAGTACAGTCAATACTCCACAACTCGATGTCCATTAAATCGATATCGAGTTAGAGAACCATAATAAAAACGAATGTCATGGCTACTGCGATAGCGAATTTGTAAGGAATTATTATTCTATAACTCATGTATGCACTGTATGACGAAGCTAATCCCAGCCTCGGTCTCACCTGGTGAAAGGATGTGTCAATCTACACTCGTAGCAATTACAGAAAGGGGTAGTTTCTGCAAAGGGAGCGCGCAAATCGGCCATGGACAGCAAAACTGTCGATTTATTCATGTGCAATATGATTCCACTTCACGTAGGGAAATCAGAAACCTTCGTCAGCCTAGTGAAGACTTTGAATCCAAGCAAATCTACGATGCCTTGACATCCACTGGGTGGAAGAATTGCCCAACGACAGCAAAACCTTGACGAGTTTGTCGTCCATTTTCTCATTCGTTAACTATGTTAACCGTTTTGACAAAACCTAACTAAAATTAACCTTTAGTCAGGTTGTTCAACGACATTTCATGGGTGGCAACCACAGCGGACTGCTGGACAGCTCACCACAGGTCGTATTTAGGTATAAATGTGCATTGGTTGGACCCAAAATCACGAAAACGTTGCAACGCCGTTACCGCTTGCCACCGGATCACAAGACGTCACACGTTTTCAGTACTCTCTGATGTTACGGCGGATATTCATGAAGAATACGGCATACAGAATAAGGTGATTCGGACGATAGCATACAATACTAGATAGAGCTGGCATTAGCATAGAGGTAACTCTAAGACTAGAAGGTCCCAAAGAAACGTGCTCAACTTTTTGGCTCAGCTCTGGTACTCTCTTCGGTCCCAAGCTAATCGATGCACCCCTCGAAACATAGGAAAATCCATGAACCCCTCATTTTATCTGTCAAACTTTTATAGCGAATCAAAACAAACATAGTGTAGTACTAGAATTTCGACTAGAGACGAGTGCACGAGTGAACTTTTGTTCATCTACTGAAAAAAAAATTGACACAACAGCAGGGCCCTGTTTACTGAAAATGAACACAAGAATAATGGTTGCGTAACATTTGAAAAGGGCCTATCAATTTTTGTAAACAAATTGCTAGTTCCTTTTCACGAGAACCGAAGTACGCCCACCCAAACCAAGAGCACTATCAGGAAGTGGAGAATTTCTCCTACCCGATGGTTTTGTTAGTTTGCGTGGGCGTATTCGGTTCGCGCGAAAAAGGCTTAACAAGTTTTGTGTACATAAGTTGATAGACCCGTTTCAAATGTTACGTGAGTATTATTCATGTGTTCATTTTAAGTTAACAGGGGCCCGCTGTTGTGTCACTTTTTGTCGAGTGAGTGAACTTAAATCCATCCGTGCACTCGTCTAGAATGGGGTTCGTTAATCGATTTGCTTGGGACCAATAGGCTACCCTAATAAAAAATTACCATACACGAACGATAACCCAATCATTATTGAACTATTCCACAAATGGTTTGGATGATACCACGAACACGTTGTTAAGCTAATTAACCATATTTTTTATTAGGGTAGTCAAGTAGTGAGCCAATTATTTTAAATCGTTAGTTTCCAACCGGTGCCAATACTCCCTTAAGTGAATCCTTTTGTAAAAATATTGGAAAATTTATAGAAGTGAGAAGGATTTTTCGGTTTCCAACAAAACGAGAATCACGTCATCACATTCCTATCCATTCCCTAATTGACCTATCCATTTCCTAATTGATCTACATTTGGACAGATGCGCTGATGAGATGAACCTAATTTGATACATTCATCCAATTTATTGATGCAACCGGGATGGATTCCTTTGATGTTTTATTTCAGGCTGGATTAAAGTGATTTTATTTTCGATAATACATACTGAACGTATCACTTAAAGCAGAAAGCGGCACCAGCAGCAGTAGAACGCGACGTCGATCGAAATTCGTGGCCGCATCTCAGTAGTTATTAAACGGTTTTAAAAATAAGCGGAAGCTGTTAGTGGAATTGACCTCTGTCGGCTGGATCTAAGAGGACTTCAAATCGGCCAATCACGAGCTGGTTCGCGTTTGACAGAAAAGTGGTTCGTTTTCGCACCCGTATTGTCTCCTCTTCCTCTTAGGGCTGGATAGGTAACGATATGGTTCGACACATGCAACTGCTTTCAATCAGCAAATTGTTGCAAGACGGTGAGTAGCTGTCCATTTAATGTAGGGTGAATGGCGGCTTCGGGAATACCTTATTCTATTATCGTCAGTCTTTGAGATCTCAATTTTGGCATGTGGATACGTTGTGTTTCAGAGTATCTATTGACCAAATTTGAGTACTTTAGGACTTTGTTTACCACCTTACGATAATAGAATAAGGTACTTCCGATGCCGACATTTCCCCTACATCAGATGAATTTTGCTACCTGTTTCCTTTTTTATGTTCCCGATCAACTCTGCGATGACGGCCTCGACTTGACTGATCCAAGGACAACTCCATGCAGAAGTCCATATTATTATAATTATTATTATTATTCGACGTTTTTTTTTTTATAGAATTGTTCTGTTGTGTCCTTTTTGATATTGTTCCTTGTATGTCGAAAAGATATGAGGTTTTTACACCTATGGTCATATTTGCCAAATAGGCTTTTTTCCCCCATCAATCTTCATTTAGACAACAAAAGTGCGATGAATAGAATAATAAATAAATAAATAAATAAATAGCTGCCCTATTAACCGAGGAATTACACCACTTTGTGCCTGCTCTTAAGTATTTGAGATAATCATCAACGACGCTTTATTTACCAGCTGTGAAGGGAGTGATGGATAACCAACAGGAATTTCTTTCCGATTTAGCTTTCCCGTCGCAATCATTATCATTCTTTATTATTGTTTTACAGAGCAATGAGGTTAGCATAAATTTTAATTCATTATTATCCGTCCATTTACATTTATATATTTCTCTTAGTATTTTTAATTACTACTAGCAAACATTGTAAAACTTAGAATTGCCATTTTTGTACAATATTTTACACTTTACTTCACTATTCGTCAATCGATTTTAGTTGTGTTTTTTTTTTCCCGAACAAGTAGATATTTGTTATTCATTCAGTCGCTAAAAACGATCTAATTTGGTAAATTTATCTGAAGAAAAATATTTGATGATTTTTTATTATTTTTTAAAGTACAGCCATGCCACTTTGCAGGAAAAGGGCTCTATCGACTAGGCTTAATTGAAAGAATCATACCTACAAATAAATGAAAACAAAAACCAAAAAGAAATCATAAGCAAGAAGAGAGAATGAAATAAATATTACATTTGAATAAACTCCATCATTCGTTAAATATTTATTGCTAATACATAATGTTCTAGACCAAATTTTGGTTAAATAACAACCAGTTATATTTCGTGTGCCATTCACGATGGCACCGATATGTAACTACTTTCTAATTTGTGTGTATGTAATCCTATTATCAGTACCGTACAGGAGCAATAAGCGTCTCCACAATCTTGCATAAAGGTGTGCAATAAACTTTTGTCCCACAATCGAGCAGGTACAGCTTTTAGCTGTCCGATTTACTGGAGAATTCGATAATCTCCACCAGGCAGCGACCAAATTCTTCGAGAATCATTCGTTCGGCGGTTCGGATGTTGCAACCACGCTTCTGACATTCGTCCGCTTGCGCAATCATGCACTGCACCGTTGCTTCGATAACGTCCGGAGTCATAAAATTGTACGGCTGCTTCGACGGTGGTAATTGCGTGAGATCGGGTTCTGCCGGAAGGGCTCGCTTCATTCCGGCAACTGCTGCTACGGCTGCTGATGTGGTTGCCGCTGCCACTGCTGCGGGTTCTCCAATGGCGGCCACCACGGTGGTACCACTTGAGCCACCTAAACTCGTATCGGTGCGACTGACTTCCGCCATACTGTCGTCACCTGATAGATGCTCCGAATCAGCACCTTCTCCTCCACCTGGTCCAGTAGCGTCTGTGCTGCCACCCACACCCAAGGAACCGACACTAGCCAGAGAAGTAGCGTACTCGAACTCTTTTGCGTATTGCTCGGTGTTGCGACAACCTGGGGCCGAACGCGATAAGCGTCAAACGAGAAAATAAAAATGAAAAATAAAACCGTTTAGTTAGAGCGAGCGAAAATGCGCCTGGCCGGGGGATTTTGTTGTGTTTGCTTGTTTTCGTCGTTTGTATGTTCTCACTCTCTGCTTGGCTAGCGCCGCAGCAGCCAGTAGAAATGTTGTACGTATGGTAGGTAAGTCAGTCGGTGGATAGATAGATAGATAGATAGAAACGGCCAACACACACACAGGCGATTGTGGTGTGATTTCATTCCTTCTTATCTAATGTAATGAGAACGAGAAATGCAGTTGCATTCACTCACCTATGCACTTGCAGTTGGCCGAGCAGGCAATTTTCGCCTCGTAGCACTCGCAGTAGTTCTTCAGACAGCCGGACCGTTTGCAGTTGCAACCCTTGGTGTGCTGGCGGAGCGCGTCCTCGTCGGCACTGACAGCACCGATTTTTGGTCTGTGGAAACAATGAGATTTTGTATTCAATAGTATGGTAGATGGAAGTGGTTTGCAGGAAAAAAAAAAAATAAGGCACTAATAACGTGGACAAACAAATCGATGACTGATTGAATGGCAAATGATGGGCTACTTTGATACATTTTTTTTTTTTCTCTCAACAGTGTGTTTGAGGTTAAGGTTAATTAACCTGTCACCTTGGACATTATTCCATATGCCTTGCATATGGAAAGTGGGATTTTTTTTTCGTCCGTTTTTTTTTTCTCAAGCATGGGATATGGCATGATTTTTTTCAATTCAAGTTCTAATTATTAATTTATTCTTCTGAGATATATTTGAAAATATTTATCATAAAATATTTCTAAATATTAGCGATAATATTGTATGTGTTTTGGATATTTAATTTGACTCTTCAAAAATGCCGAATCGCTAATAAAAGTGCGGTTTTAAGTTGTACTGTACGTCCTGATGTATTCTGTGTACTTATTCCTTATGAACGAAGGTATAAGATAAGTACGTCGAACAAACCAAACGATTTAACGTAAAAGCATAAAGAAACAGACATAACACATGACATATCTGCCACTGAAAAAAACCGTCGCTAAAACACTATCATGGGTAGCTCGCTCATCAGATGGCAGTAGTGTTTAAACGTCAAACGCCACGGAAGTTTACTATGAGTGCCTACACTGCCAACTACCACAACTCAGCGACTGAATTCAATTGACTCAGAGCATTTTCTTTCCACACAAAATTTACTCATATGTGAAAAAAAAACTGCAATTACATCGCACTCTAAACTATAAAAAAATTTAAACAACGAAATTACAGGGCTGGTAGCGATCAATGCTATCAAAAATAACGTGTAAAAGTCCAAAACCAGGTTGAAGAAATAAGTGACCTTATAGTTGTAAAAAAGTGACTAAAAAGAGACCTAAGGGAAGAAAATTAGTCGTTCTGATGGCATACCAAATAAATGTTTGATGTTTTAGACTTAGGGAAAATGTTGGCTTCGGCAATACCTTAACCTATTATCGTCAGGGGGCTCAATTTTGGCATGTGGATACATTGTGTTGCAGAGCATCTATTGGCCAAATTTGAGTGCTCTAGGACTTTGTTTACCCCCCTGACGATAATAGGTTAAGGTATTGCCGAAGCCAACATTTAGATTCTCATAAACACTTAAATATGTACGACATGAACCATTAAAGCGAAAGATTCAATAAAAAGTTTATGACTAAACCACAGACAAACCGACACGAAACTTAAACTTAACTATGTGCAGCGATCCCATCTGTCAAAACCATAGAAATGTTACTATCATGAATTTAATTGAACTGTTCTAAAAATGTTTAAGCTCCCGCGAACTCTGAACTTTTCTCAAAAATTCAATAATTTTCTTAACATCTCTAAACTGCCCATAATCGCAAGTCAGTCCCATCTGTAAAAAACTGGAAATGAGAAAACGGCGGTCAAAGATTTTTCAAGTTTTTTGATTTGACACTTATGTTGGAGGGATAAATTTTAAAATAAACGTACAATGTGATAGAATGCATCTATGTTTACCCAAACATATTGGAAAAATATCGTAAAATTTTTATTTTATGGCCAAAATCTGAGTGGGACTGACTTGCGATTACATTTAACGTAAATGAGAAAAATAACCGCAAGTCAGTCACAATTCCATGACGATGCTGCATTAGTTTAGCACAGTATTGAACAGTAGAAAGATACCATGGTCCCATAGAACGTTGTTTCTGGATTTGTTGCGCTGGTTTCAGAGCAATGGCCGAAACATACTCCGGTGAGTACGGGTCTTCATCAGACCAGAGCTTTTCATAAACGTGCCAAACCCACCATGCGATAAATCAACACACATGAGAATTCAAAAATAAGATCAATAAGAGTCATAATGAGTGACCAGCACCATGTTGGCCACACCCGGACATGTTCCGGGTATCCCCAGGAGAGTGATAAATCCGTTTTAAATAAAAATCCATCAAGCGATACATCAAATCACATGATAATTCAAAGCCATATCGATTGGCGGTCAAACTGAGTACCGTATCAACTATATTGGCCACATCCGGACGTGTTCCAGATACCATATGGGAAGTGGGCAAAATCTGTCTTGACACAAATCTCATGATGCGATGTGTTGTCTAACATTTCTAACATATTTTTCTAACGGGACTGACTTGCGGTTACTTTTCGCTGTGGGACAATTTGACTTGGTATTGTTTTTCATTTTTCTTGAACAAACCACCTTTTTTTCAATAGTGCATCCAAAAAAACATAGAAAGATGAACTGAATAATGATGCTAAATCAAAATTGATAAAAATGCAGATGGGACTGACTTGCGATTACCGGCAGTAAAGTTCTCTGAAAAGCTGGGAACTTCTTAAAATTTCCCGCTAATTTATTGAAACTAATGGAACTAAACTCCCCTGAAATTCGCTTTGTTTTTGGAGCTTTACTAAACTAATTTGAGATGCTCCCAAAATGTCCATAAAAGTTCCTGAAGTTCTCGGATCTTCCCTTAAGTTCCATAGACTTTTATGAAGTTCTCGAAATGTTTCTGAAGATCTCTGTACTTCTGTGAAGTTTTCGAAGTTATTCTGAAATTTCAGGAACTTCATTAGGCTTCCGCAGCGAAAGAATTAATATAGTTCTATGTTTTTCACTGAAGTTCTCAAGATTTGTCTGAAGTTCAAATTATCGAAACTAATTCATAACTTCTTTAATAGTCTAGAATTTTCTGATGTTTTTAAAACTGCCTAAAATATTTCTCAATTTCCCAAAATTTCCTTAAAATTCTCTAGACTGCTCTGCCTTAGTATTTTTTTTAAAGAACCCACCATTTTACTGGAATTGATTTAATTGCCTTTAAGTTCTAAAATTTTCATTAAGTTTTATAAGGTTAATAGACGCTCTCGGAACTTTGCCTTAAATCACTAATTTTCCCTGCAAGAAGTTTTCTATGCTTACCTTAATTTCTCTAAATTGATCAAACGTTCCGGTAGATTTTCTGATATATATTTATAATTCCCTGATAAGCTTCTAAAGTTTTCGGATCAATCATAGAATTCTCGGAATATCCCATAATTATAAAAAACTCCTTGTAAGTCGCTGCATATTTCCTTAAGTTAATGGGATATTTCTGATGTAGATAGAAATAGATGATGTAGATACTCGGAACTTCACTGAATATAATGAAACAATCTAAAAATATCTAAATTTCTTAGAAGTTCTGTGGAATTTCTTGAAAATATCGGTGCTTGCTAAAAGTTCTCGCCTTTTTTTTAATTAATGGAAAAATGTTTGATGTTCTCTAATCAACTTAGCTAAATTTTCGGATGTTCTTTAGATCTTGAGATTTCCATGATATAACACCCTTGAAATACTCTCACATTTTCCGAATGTTCATATAACTTTTACTACGTTCCAGAAATTTTCTCTGAGCGAACTGAATTTTCCGGAAATTCCGGTTTCTGAAATTTCCTTTAAATTTTTTGAATTTAATTCTCTGATCTGTTTTGATGTTCTCGGAGCTTCCCTAAAACTCTGAACTCTAATAAGGATCTCGGTTCTGCTTTAAAATAAATTGAATTCTCGTAAACATCTGTCGCATCTGTCGACAATCGTTGTTGTTATTTACATCGTTGTGATTTTACGCTGTTAAATTTGTTCTATCGTTCTTCGTTTTTCCCGTTCTGTAGACTTGCAAAATTTTACCGGTTGTTAGTGGAAAGTACAGTCCGTTGCAATAATTGTCTATTTGGAGCATATTCCGTGTTGTGAAAACAGTGAAAAAGTTATCTAATCGGTCATCTTGTAGTGTTTACTGTTGTGTTAGTGTCAATATCAGACGCTCTGCAGAATCCAACTCCTCCTTGCGTATTAGAGCATCCCCACCGCTGTTTCTAAATTAGATTTGGAAACTGAGTCAGCATGACTTCCGCCTGTGACCAATGCCCTAAACCAGGAGTCACATTGCGAATCTCGAAACGAAAGACTTTTTGTACGAATGCTTGTATGAAAAAGTTTTTCGTTTCGAGATGCACAATGTGGCCCCAGTTAAAGGTGATGAAGAATCCGTCTCCTGCATGGCTTTTTGCGACAGAAGGATTCGCCTGAAATGCGGCGGCACAAAGTTGAACAAGGCTTTTCTGAACATTGTCCACACTAGCCCAAACTTGTTTTGGATGTGCAACGAGTGCGCGAAGCTGATGAAATGTGCCCGGTTCAAAACTGCTGTTTCGTCGTTTGGTAATGCGATTAATTCTATCACCGAGAAACAGGAAATGGCACACGCTGAGCTTTGGAAGGAAATGACTTAGCAAGGACAGCAGATCGCTCAGCTGTCGAAACGAATCGCATTGACAACTCCAACACATTTGAGTTCCGGCGATCTTATGCGTCAACCGCCATTCAAACGGCGCCGCGATGAAGGCTCGCTCACCAGCAAACCACTTGTTGGTGGTACTAAAGCAGTAACGGATGACAATGTCTTTACCGAGGTCCTTACTGTCCCTGAACCCACCGAGCTGTTTTGGCTGTACCTTTCTCGTATACATCCTAGCGTGAAATCGGAATCAATCGAGAAGCTGGTCAAAGGTTGTGTATACACTGCGATGATCCGATTAAGGTTTTGCCGCTAGTTAAAAAGGGATCCGACATCAGCCGTATGAGTTACATATCGTACAAAGTCGGATTGGCTCGCAAACTACGTGAAGTTGCTCTTACATCGGATACATGGCCGAAAGGAATTTTGTTCCGTGAATTTGAAGACGGTTCAAAAAACATGTGAATGTCTCGTTTGAACACGCCAGCCATCACGATCTCTCCTGTTCCGGGACCTTCCGAGTTCTCAACTCCCATCTCTGGACTAGACCCAATATGCTGATTCAGAATTGGATGCCGCGTTGTGAATTGGAACGCTGTAAACCAGAACGCACTGCCTGTCGCATTATGGGAGACCTCGAACCACTCGATCCAGT